TATATATATATATTCTTTTTAAGGGAGACCAGGTTGACACCCTAAAATATATCCTATATTATATGGGAAATTAAGCCCCTCCTCTCTCCCCTTTCACTCTGCATCTCAATTAGCCTCCTCTACAGAAGCAATACACCTCCTGACCGAACACGTACAGATGGTGGCATCTCTGCCTGCTGCCTTCTCTCCCGCACTTGCCAAACTCTCCCTGCAGTAATAACCATCTGCCCTGAAGACGTGTACAAGTCCCTGCTGGGTCACAGCCACCTCTTGCTCCTACTTCCCTAAATTCCTGCCTTGTGCTGCCAGTCGCTCCCTTGCTGCCATTTAATCCTGTTCCCCCAAATAACCACACATACTCATTATCAACTCAACTATCACAACCCATTCTAAAAATGCAGGATTTAGATTGTTTTCCTCCCAGCTACATTTTGATGGCTATGTTATTAGCATTATTGTTTTACTTCTCTATGGTCCATCAACCATTGAAATAAAACTGAACCACAGGACAGGGTAAGATCTGGCTGCCTACATGAGCAGGGCAAGGATGATAAAACATCTTTTTTAATCACCTTTTTTTCCCAGTTTGCTGAAAACCCAGTTATTATGTGCCACTGAAGTTTTGTGTTTGTGCTCTTCCAAGTTCCTGGAGAGCCATTCTGACATTCAGACTGAGAAGGCAGTGCCGAATAGCTTCAAACACAGATTCATCCCAGTTTTTATTACTCTTCCAAACCAACAGAGACGGAAGACACAGCAGAAGTTAAGAGCCCTTCTGCTCCTTTTTCACATTGGTGGCTATCTCCAGAAAGCTCTCTTCAGGGCAGCCAGCTCACTGACGTCAAGATGGACTAAATACAGAATGATATGCAGCTGTTACTGATGGTGGTGGAGCCCCAGCACATGTCGCCAACTGACACAGATCTGCATGTTCACAGAAACCACCTTACTACAGATTTCGAGCATGTTTACAGCTTTCTTTAGATAATATTTTTTTCTTTAAACCCATGGAGCTACGTAACAGTATGAAGAACACAAAACTTTTCCGGTAAGCCCTTTAATTCCCAGGCATCTTCAGATAACACCTTTAACTACACAGCATTCAGTACTCTTTACACACAAGGCAGCTCACGTTCCCAGCCATATTCCTTGATTGGTGGTAACCACAATTACCTGCAAAAAAGGATTAGCTCATCATGTCTTCAACACAGAAGAGAGAAATAACTATTATCAGGTAGTTCTTCCTAGTATCTCCCATTACATTTCAAATAACTGGTGATGAGAATCTATCTGCATTTCCATGTATAACTAAAACATCTGAAAAGGAACATTTCAGTGCTCCTGTGACATAATTCGATGCCTGAAGGTCCTTCAAACTTCTAATGCCACAAACTTCTAATATGTATCAACCAGGATTCGCAGCCAAACTGACAGGTAACTTCCACAGAAACAAAGCAGAATTCAAAGTCTTCATTTGCACCCCAGTTATGTCTGTTTACACCCCAATTGCCTTCTGCACTTCTGATGACAAAGAGGATGAAAATAAAAAACTAACTCATATTAAACACACCACAATTTATCTTTGGAGATCCTTCCAACCTTAGAGAGTAACTTTCACTTAGTTAAAAAAAAGAAACCAATAATATATTGTACTCACACAGCAAACAATTTGCTGATAGTGGTAGAAGCCTCTCAAAAAAAAAAAAAAAAGATAACTCAGGGAAGTCAGTTCTCTTTTTCCAGGGTGAAACAGAAGACTTGAAGTTGGCCACACAACTACCCTGCATACTCTTAACAGTAGGTGGACAGTGAGAGAAACTAATAAATTAAAACAGAAGTAAAATAACTACATCTAAGCCATAAGGATGTGATGAAAATGTCCTTTGGCCTAGAGATTTAAAAAAAACCTGAATACAGAATAGAAAGAGGCCACTTGGTTTGGTGCATTCTTTGTCATGCCTTCTATAACAGAAGCCCTAGACTTCCACACCAGAAGGTTGATCAACACCTGCGTGGCCTCTGTCACGTACAAGAGCTCTGCGTGGTGTTAATTCCAGGAGACCCATAACTAACAGAACATCATGGGACAACTCACATCACTCCTAGTCCTGTTTAAAACCCTTGAGGGAGACATTTTTCTGTCCAATAACCTCCAGAGATAATTTAGAAGTGAAGGTACGAATATCACCTCCCTCCTGCCCCTCATTTCTGATTATTGCACAGGACCAATAGCTTCTCTTAAATCAAAAAAAGATAGGAGACAATCTAGGTTGCTCTATGGGAAAAAAAAAAAAAAAAAAAAAAGGCATAAAAATCACCACCTTTCTAATTTATCTGGTCTTTATTTCCAACATAAAACCTTATTACAACTTTCTCTGACAGGCTAGAAATCTGTTTAGTGCTCCTAATTCTTTTCTTGCAAAGACATTTTTGTATTTGATTGAAAAGACGATGAAAAGATGGTGTTAACAGATGGACTGAAGAAGTACAGTCTAAGCTTTATGTGCTCCTGCTTAGAAAACTATTTTTTTCATCCTTTATGTGATTTACTGAGTTTTTTTTGTCTTTTCCATACCATTTTGGGAGGTGGACACAGCAGTGATTCAATGCAGATATAACATCTCTCCATGTAACTCATGCACTCATATAATTTCCTTCAGCTTCTTTTGTTTTTTTTTTCTCCCAGCCTCATGAAGCTGTCACCTCCCTTAACTTCAATTTCCCCTTTAGGGTGAATTTCAGAAGGCAAAAACACTGGAATGGCTCTCAATGTCCAAAACAACCTTTGTAAAAGTCCTTTAAATCATACCCACTGCCCTGTTTTCTATCACCTGTGGCATTCTGTGCCATCTTCACAGCCAAAATACCCAAATAATAACCATGCTAGGAAAATTTTCCATCTATCTTTGCACCTCTTCCGCAGCCCACACTGCCCTACAAGGACTCTATGCACAAAACCACCCAGGGCTAGCTGGCATGAGGCTTCCAACTGACTGCCACTCTTCCAAGCAACATGGAATGACATGAAATGAAGAGCAGGGAACCCCAACCTCTCTGCACTCTTATCTCTAAAAGACTTCAATCAGCCTCGTTAGTTCCCTAGAACAACTATCATGTTCCAGAAAGAAATAAACTCTCCAAAATCATTGTACTGGGACACGGATATTCCTGTTCTGCTCACAGTGATACTGTCTTCTCCACAGGCTTTGAGACAGAGACACCAGGACTCCAGATGGTAAAATTAACCCTAAATTGATGTTAATGTGTGATTTACGTAAGCAAAATATCCACACTCTTTTCCAGTGGGCAAAACACCTCCATTGAATACTTAACACTACTGCAAGAGCCTCAGGGAAAAGACATCAAGCTGTAAAAAGCACGTCAAAAGAAAATAAGAAGGGACTTAACATAATGACATCTGTGCCCTTGCCATCACTTTTTAGGAACCTTCAATCCCTACTTACTAGCACTTCCTCTGACTTATTTTGTGAAAATCAAGTCTTATGTCAATGTTGCTGTTACTCCAGAATGGGTTGATACTGGTTAAGCCACCACTATGTAGAAGGATTACTTAGTCTCTGGGTTTTGTTCATTTATGGCAACTAAGAATTGACAAAAAGTTGCTTAATAAACTTGCACAAATCCTCTTCCTGTGAAGCTGGAAGACCCTACTAACTCTGAAACCAGCAGGTACCAAAGCAGACACATTAGCATGGTTCCTGCCTGGGCACATCGCACTTCACCAATAACTACAGAGCTATCACTGCTGCATACAAGTGTTTTTAGCTTCTACATGCCAGAAAGGCAATGGCTTAATACCCAGATCCAGTCACCTTGTTCATAAGGGATTTTAAAGCAGTCCCTCGCTAGTTTTATTTTCACTGTTTATTGGCTTCTAAAATGATTTTCCTCTACTTTGGTGCAAATTCCAGTCTTAAAAAAAAAAAAAAAAAAAGTTAAACCAACAAAAAATATTAGTCAAAGAATCATCCAACTGTGAGGAGGAGGGAGTGGTGTGGACACCCAGAGCAGGGTGGGACAGAATTGTAAACAGGGATCCTTCATTCATCTTTGTGCCTGCCTTCGTATCATCACCCAGCCATGAACACAACGACTGAACACAGACACAAGCACATGCCACAATGTTTTTTTTCTGCTGCTGAAAATAAGAGGTGATTAATGGAGGTGCTTCTAATTGCTGTGCTTTTGTAGTTTACCTTCACAGTATTTCTGAGGATGGTATTTTCACGAGGCAGATCACCTCAGAGATGCCCTGTACAACCTGAGTCAGAAACACAACCAGCTCTCCCCTATCTCAGTGCCAGTACTCACCCTGTTTCCGCTAAAAAAAGGCTCGCTACCATCAAGCCACCAGCCCAGTCCCTGTTCTGCCTAAGGAAGATTCATATTAAACAGCAAAAAGAAGAAAACTTTAGGACTAGATAAAACTTAAGTTGAGCAACATATGGTTAACAGTATGAGTATTGCTGTATATTGCTGTTAGTAAGCAGTTTGCAATTTAAAAATATATACTTATATACATATATATATATATATTGCAGCCCATATATCCATCAAAAGTATTTCAAAAGACAATTTAAAAAAAAAAATCCAGTTTAGTACTTAATGAAAAGAGACAGACATTTATAGGAAGCATCTATCTGAAGTACTTTTAGTCTCCAAATCTGAGCTCTGCAAAGGCTTTCAGACACATAGCAAAAGGTACGTCCTTCAAGGAGTGCCACTTACTCCACATGTCTCATTCTGCGTTTGCATGGGATTAGCCTTTGGCTCCATGTCTTGCCTTTTTTGGTTCTGCTTCAGTTGGTTTAAGGAAGGTTTTGTTTGTGCAGCTCCAACAGTTTTGCTTGTCCACTGGTCAACTAGCTTGTGAAGATCATCTGTGAACGTCCCTTTCTTGTTGTTACTGTTGTTGGCCTGAACCTGCAGGGTTGATTGTGGGAGGGGCTCAGCACATGTTACCAGGCTGTTTGTTGAGGATCCTGGAAAATCACAAAGAAAGTTGATGATGGCATCTCTGCTTCACCACTTAGCTGCTCCAACACTTTCTTATCTACTGCAATTCAAACAGGTGGCTTTTCAGACTTTTAACCCTCCCCCTCCTTTCTACAGAACACTTTTGCTTAAAGAAATGGTCCAAGTTCAATTTGTTCATATTTTCTATTACATTACGTTACCTCAACCACGAGGCTGCTGTGCCCACAACTCCTCTCTAGATATAATTAATGACTCAGAGAGAAGAGACGAAGGCAGTCCCAGTAACACTGACACCCTAAGGCTTACAAAGTCTCTTCAGAGGAGACTACCATGAGAGACTGGGAGGCAGGAAGTATTTAAACTGCATACATTTAAAAAATTAATTTACCATTCATTTTACTTGCACAAATTTACTGTCCTCCTGGAAAAACTTAATTGTTGCATAGGTTACACATAGGGTTGGCTACTATGCCTCAAAGGCTCTGGAAACCCACCATCTCCATTGATGATGTTAGCACTGTTTACTCTGCCATCTGCATATTTTTTGGGGGAGAAAAAAAAACATCAGGACCATGAATGTACAAGATGAAAGGGCAGAGAGGAGGACATGAGTGGATATGCGAATTTTGTAGTCAAAGATAGAGACAAAACATTTGGTATAGATAAAAAAAGAGAGGAAGAGTATTGTCAGAGATTTAATTTTCTTTGTTCACTTATTTCTAGAAGAACTAGGAAAAAAAAAATTGTCCTTTTTATGTGTTGGTAAGTACAAGTCTGACATCAAGATCAGCAGAGAACAGCAATTGAAGGTGCCTGAATTTGACCTAAGCAGAAAACATAAAGGAACTTTTCAGCTACTGTATTGGATACAGGTAAAGGTTTGAAATAAAGACCACCTCTCCAAGCAAAAAGTTCATAAAACTGTAGTAAAATTATTATATAAGCCAACATGAACATTCAGTCTTCTTTTATCTGTTAATGACCTACCAGTCAATGAAACCAATAAAACTAATTAGTCCTATGGTTATATAAAATACATTATAACCTTTAGATGATCATGCATTCAACCTGCAACATAACTTCTAAGTGAATACTCATTTTCTTTTCCTTTGCTTGGGGGAAAGGGATCAGTGAGAAAAATAAGTATTTTGACAGGAAAGCTCTTCAATTAGTGTTTAATATCTCATGCAGCTCAGCAGAACTGAGATTGTTTTAAGCTACGAATTCCTCCAGCAGAGAACTGCAGTCATATAAAGATGTGTATTTCAGAAAGACAAACACTGGATCCAGTTTTCTCGATGCATGCATGCACAGTCTCAAACAAGAAGATTACCACAACTGTCTTGCAGCATGCTTGGTTCCCGAGACATCACAGCACATGCATTATTATGAAAGTATCACAATTTAAACAGTCCAATTTCGTATCAGTATAGGTGCATCAGCTCTATTTATTAAACAACTAGCTTTTAGTAAGAAAACCAAAATTAACAAAAAGCAAAAAACATCCCATGCCATGAAGGAAATACTGAGAAACAAAAATGGGATAGTTACTACTACTGTGATCTTTGCCTAGACATAGTCGTTTCAAGGTGGACCCTACAAGGTAAAACAATACAAGACATACAGAATTAGGTAAGACTAAACACAACAAATCTGACGGACAAGCTTCTGTACTTTTAAGCAATCAAGAAGTAGTTATTATGCAAGAAAGGACAGACAAAGTCAGCAGTTCAGGTGAGTAAAGGAAGTCTAAATAACTGGACAGCTCAAACCTTTCTTAAAGTGCAGCCATTCAGAAGCTTTGAGAGGTACAACAGCATGCCAAAAGCAAGGTCCCATGACTTAAAGATGCATTTGTTTGGGTTTTTTTGGGTGGTGGTGGTGGGGTTGGTTTGTTGTTCGGGGGTTTTTGTCCTTTTTTTTTTTCTCCAAATTGTCTTGGCTTCCTAGGAGGTTTTGATTCCTACTCTGTTTATGCAGGAAATGATGTCAATTCAGTTTGTGATAGGAGGCCAAAAATGCTTTCAGGAACAAGTCAAGCTAGTCTGGCTGCAAAGACAAACTGTAAAACAACCCTAGAAGTCCTGTTTTACAAGTCCAAAAAGATACATTGTTCTGCAGGTCTGAGGCCAATTGTTTCCAAATACTTTATTAGCAGGATTTGTGTCTAAACGTGAGAGTCTGAACTTCAATTGAAAGTAACTGTGAATGAGTTTCCCTTATGCCTTGTCCAAGTGCAGAAAAATAACCCAGCAGAATAGCTGAGTTTTTATTTAACTAAACTATATGGTTTTTTTTCATTATTATTTCATTACATCCTTCATCATGATTTTACACATTCTATTGGATAGATAGTTAGAGTACCAGAAGTGTACCGAGACCCCTACTCGAATGTCAGACTTTGCCAGACATAAGCACCCTTTCTCTTTGAGTGCCAAATTTCCTGAAAGGTATTTTGGACTTGGTAAGAAGAATATCATCATGGTATGGGAGGAGATGACTATCTGGCATGGGGCATGGCAAGTTTATTGTGAAGAAGCACTTGAAAATATGAGCAAAATCAGAGTGGGCCAAAAATGCAAGATACAGGATGGATGAGTTTTTTCTCTACAGCAAACCAGTGTAGATATTTTATGTTACTGTGCCAGAAATGCAGCTTTAAACTCAAGAGATTCCAGGTCCGGGTTGACATAGGCTCTGAATGAGTCTTTGAAGGAGAAAGGAGAGACTTCAGTCAGAGACTGAGGAAGAGAAAGTAAGGAAAGGAGGGAGGAAAAAAAAAAGCAGAGAAGAAATGCTTGTGCTTTGATATGGGTGGCATGAGGAGGAACAGAAGAACTGCTTTAAAAGATTTTCTTATTATTTCATATAGTTTAATGAGATTTCTATTCCAGGAAAATCAGAAGGACATGACTACAGTAACATCTCATGCAAGCATGACCAAGTTTAGTTTCTCATCTCAAAGCCTAGATACCGTAAACAAGTCATAATCACAACTCAATGATCTGTGGTGTATTTTTCAATTTTTTCCCCCTCTTTTCCCTGATAGACCTTACCTTGCCTATCTCAAAACTAGGTAGCAATCCCCACTAAGGAAACATCAGTGGCAGTAATACCAGAATGCTTTTTCCTTACCTATCCTGCAGCACTTCTGCACATAGCAGTAGAAAGTGTTTAGCACAGTATGTATACAAATGAAAAGCAACTGCCTGCGAAAAACAAAAGCAGGCAGCTGACTGCAGTACGTGCTCAAATGCATGTAAAAAAGTTTAATCACCAACCCCTCTGCTTCCTGAAAACCAAGTCACAAGTTTATACGCTCCTTGAGCGCCAAATCAAACCTGGGGCCCCCATACGTAGGGGGAAGCAACGGAGAACAGTGATACTGCGCAGATTCGCAAAATATCCACACGCGTGGAATCAATGGTAAGGAAAATATTTCAGAAGAGTCAGTCACCAAGAAGAGAGCTGTTTCTTCCAAAGTGTATCATTTCAGCGTGTTGCTTGGGAGATGAGAAATGTTATCTAAGTGGTGATATTGCCTGAAGCAGGGACTGACAATCCTTGGCTATGACTGGTTTTAAATTCAAATGAAATTAAAAAATTCCCTTGGTAAGCCTAATTCAGCAGATTAACTGTATTAGTTCTAGAATCAAAGTGTTTAAGAGCTGTAAAGTTAAGGAGAGGATTTATAATTAAGATTTAATCTAAGATTGCAGAAGTTCAGCAGCTTTTTACCTACAATTTCAGATCTTATTTGAGAAATTAAGTAGCTCTTATACCATATAGGACAGAAAAAAATCCACTGTCCCATATTTGCACTCAATAACAGCTGTCAAAAAGCTTGAAACCTAAAATAAAATTGAAATGGCAATGAATTGTTAGACCATTTCCATAATTGCACATACAATATATTAATTACTACAGACTTGACAAAAATCATTTTATACAAGATTACACGTCTATGCCAACTGGAGCTTTTGAAAATTCCACTCACAATCAGCACAAACTCCTCCCTAAGACTCCCTTGCAATTTAACACAGGTAAGGAGATCAGGCTAAAATTATGTTGAAGCCCATAAAAAATATTTTATTCCATGAAAAGTACAAAAGCAAAGTCAATACTGGACAGGGGGAACACATCGAAAAGCAGTTCTTGGAGAACACTGTGAAAGTGTTCAAGTTCAGTGGGTCTCATACCCAGGGCAAGATATTTGGTAAAGCTATCTTTACTGCATCTGAACATTTCTTTTTAAGAGTGTGCTGCTAATTTGTCTGCTGACAGAGTACAGACCTCACACTGGAATACCTAAGCTCCTCAAAGGCCTGTTTTTCCTTAATCAGAGATTCAGAGCATTTCTGAAAATCCAGCACAACTTTTCCCAGAAGCTCTCAAGCAAAAAATCACAGGCAAACCTTGACTTGTGGAATAAACTGGACCCTGAACTGCCTGGTCACCAAGGTGCCTGCACTGGACAGTCACATCCCAGCCTCGTGCACCCAGCACTTGCTCACCGCCTGATCTCCTTGCTCAAGCATGCAGCAAAGAACATAGAGTCATAGAATGATTTGGGTTAGAAGGGATCTTAAAGATAATCTAGTTCCAACCACCCTGCTATGGGCAGGGATACCTCCAGGGTTGGTGAGGTGTTTTTTTTTTTTTTTTTTTTTTTTTTTTTGTTTGGTTTGGTTTGGTTTTTTTTTTTTTTTTTTTTTTTTTTTTGGTTTGGTTTGGTTTGGTTTGGTTTGGTTTGGTTTTTGTTTTTGTTTTTGTTTTTAGCAGGATCAGGCTGCTTAAAGCCCCATCCAATCTGGCAAGATGCAAACCTGTTTAGCACTTTGCCCAAATGTGTGGCTCTGCCTGCATGCTGGGTCAACCTACATCCCTTCCTAAGGGGATGGAGCATGGGCAAGCTGGCATTCCCATCATCACCGTCTAGCACTATTTTCCCTGAGGCACATGCTCATGGCTGCTCTGGATACTGGCTCAGTTGAACCACCAGCCATACATCCTTCCCAGCAGTCCCAGCCCTAGCTGCCCCTGGGGAATGATGGGGCCGCACACAACCCCATCTTCGTCTCTTCAAACACACACTACCCACTTGGCAGACTCGCTGGGAAAACAAGCTAAAATGACCTCCTATCCCCGGATCAAAACCTATCAGTGATTCAGCTGTGGGAAACTGTCTAGCAACTCAAGTGACAGGCAGTATTTGAAACTAAGCTGCACTCCCTGAGCAGCAGTGACTTTGGATGGATGTGTCAAGGATAAGTGCTTGAAACTCAGTCCATCTCATCATATGACTTAGAAATGGGGGAGTGCAAACCTCCTCTCTGAACACTTTGCCCAGAAGAAACCAAGAAGAGAACATATGGGCTGAGAACAGAAAGCAATTAGTCGTGCTGAGTTATTTAAGCATTGGAAAAAGTTCGCGATTTGAAGGATTTACATATTCCCTTGGTTTCATTCACAATATCCATGCACTCAAACAGTTTTAATACATTGGTTTTTAATTGCCATCTCCCAGTCTTTTTGCATCCTCCTGAATAGTAAATCTGTGAAAGATTAATGAAATGGGAATTTCATGTGCAGAAGAAGAAACTACTACGGCTGTTATAGTATCAAATGGGAAAATTTGTGAACTAAGAATTCCCCTCAGGTTGTCAGAAAAAAAACCCTAAATGCAACATTGTCTCATGACTTCAACAGTCATTACAAACTTGCACGATAATAAATACAGTATGCCAAGCAGTAAGTATCAGTTTTCAAGAACATTGAGTGCTCAGACTTTTCAGGGACCTCAAATAAAAAAGACTTCTTTTCTAAAATATTATTTATAACATTAGGAGGAGTCTATTTGAGTGGCCTTGTGCCTTTGATCTGTACCACTTGGATAATGATGAGCAATGTAGAACTCCAATGGGAGATCTGATATTAATGCAAATGAACAATTAGTTAACCAAACATTTTCTCAAGAACATTATTAGCCTTTCGGATATTATATGTAAGTGGCCTATAGTACCTGTTCAGCACAACATATCTTTATTGTACAAGCAAAATCTGTTTGCCTAAAAAGCAGCATATATGATTGGGTAAAAAGGTCTTAATTTTTTAATTAAATAGCTTGATATAATTTGGTTGAATTGCCAATTACTTTAGAAGTTATATAAATAGGGTACAAATAGCAGGTGCACAATTATTTGAAATAAAAAACACTGGAACCTAGAAGTCCATTTAAAAGTATCGTCCAAAAATCTGATATTGCTTTTTACTTATTTAATGCTTTGATGAACTGCTAATTGACTTCATCTCTGAGGTCACATAAGGTCATAAGAAAATAAACTGAGTAAAGTGCTTCAGCCAGATCAGCTTACACCAAAAAGTTGATGGTACTCTCCCTTGGAGTGACCAGATCTTCCTGCTGCTTATGAGTACATAAAAAATTGCTCACTCAAAGTAATTGAAGTGAATGCATGGGGAAAAGCCCACCTAGAAAAGAGATCTTGAAAGAACTAGCTGGAGCACTATTGTCTCAGCATTTCCACATGCAAAGAGCGGGGAAACAAAATTAAAGAAAATAGAGTGGATATAAACAGTACTGTATATAGTGTTAATACAGCCCTTGTATGGAAGTTATACCCTTCAGTGACCTTCTAGTATTGTATCAGCTTGCTACATGCATGTCTTCATAGTCCAAACATGTGTGAAAGAGACCATTCGTCTACAGAAGGATGGATTTCTTTTTGTTGTTGCTGGAACTGGGACAGCAGACATGTATATTTGCCACATTGCAAATAAAATTACTTCAACATAAATCACATTAAAGTACAAAAGCTTTGATAAGTCCAGGGTAAAATTTACCATAAGGCTATATAATAAATGATGAGATCTTCCACACATGCTTTTGGTGCCCAGGCATGAGCCAAAAGCAGTGCAAAAAAAAGCTTTCATATGAAAAATTAATATAAATAAGGTGTGTTCATGATGATTACTCAAAAGAAAGATAAAAAGAAAGAAAACATGGTTCAGAAAAGGGGGCATCCTGCCAAACATATTAGAGATATAAAATATGGAATTGGAAAAAGGGGTAAAAGAAAGATGTACTGTGATAAAATACAAAAGAACAAATACAAACAGATGGACAAAGACACAGGTCCACTGAGGAATCTGGTACGAGGTTTGCTACTAGATTTATAGGTCACTCTCTCAGACGTTTGGTGGAAAACCGTCCAGCCTGCAAATGAATATAAAGGGAAGAAAACAAAGACACTTATAAAGTACAAGTAGCTGCGATCAGATGTCCTATACCATCAGTCAAATCAGCTTTGTTAGTTAAACATCCACATCTCCATTTTAACTTTGCCAAAAGGAGTAAGTTAATTGACCGTACACAAAGGATGCAGTAACAGCAGAAGAGAACAGATAGATATTTTGTAGATTAGTTTGGCAGGATGTGCAATGAGAGGAAGGTATTTTAATCATCATTGTAACTTCCAATATGCATGGCAACAAGATCAGTCATAGCCTACAGAACTGTGCAATACACAAAAGTATCAGAGGTCAGGACTGGGGAACACAGCCAATCTACAGTCATTTAGCTGGGACTCCAAAATCATGCACAAAGTTAACTCCTTAGATAAAGGAAACATAACTTGGTTCCCTGGTTTTCTTTCCCACCCCCAGCTCCCACCCCACCTTCACACTCAAAGTGCTTTGGTAGCTTAAAATGAGGAACTCCGGGTCTACCAGTATCAAGGGGCTAAAAAAATCCAAACAAACAAAACAACCCAGAATGAACTAGAGGAAACAAACTCCTATAGGTTTTTGTTCTCCTTTTTTCTCAGAAATCTGTAAGGCAGACTCCAGAAAAGGTGTTAGTATAAAGCCACTGCTGGCAAGAATAAAAGGTATTTCCTTCCTAAAAATGAGCATCCCTTCTTAGGTGTTTGACTCTTAACACTCAGTAAGATACTTTATTTTTTTTCTTCTGACAATACTGCAATGATCTTTTTAAAGATAAGCCAGTAATTTGGATTGTTAAAGGTTTATGTTCCTGTATCACTAGAAGTGAAATCCACTCCTAAAAAGTTCAAGCATAGGGGAAGCAAACTAATTTTAGCATGTGCTGGAAGACATGCTGAACAGCTGGTATGAAAAAATCACCTTGGCCAGAGCTTGCATTCACGTCACCTCCTTCAGGGCCTAAGCCAGAGCAGATGTCAGAAGACAAAGAGGCTTTGACAGAGCACGGCTGCTGTGTCTGAACAGCCTTCCCAAAGGTGGCTGATGCAGAAGAAGTTACTGCTGTTGCTTCAGGAGATCCAGGCTGAGTTTTAGTTGTTTCTTTGTGGGGTGAATCTTTAGCATCTGAAACATTACCTGAAAGAGCAAACAAACAAAATACATGCAGTGGCAAATTCTAGGAAACCACAGAGTAACAATCCCTGCCTCAAAGTAATCATTACTTTGTCACCAAGAGAAACAGCAGTTTTGCACAGACTTGCACCAGAAACTAATCTACACATGCTGATCCACTTCCTGCAAGAATCTTATGGAGTACGTTTGATTTTTAGTTTCTTTCCTGCATTTTTTCAGAAAGACTGGAGTTAGGACCTCACATGGAACACTGCCAAAATCAAGTGAAAGCTGCAGAAGTGCCTATGTAGGAGCACTGTCTGCCCAGCTACAGCTCCTGCCTGGCTGCAGGCGAAAAACCAACCCTATCCCAGCCCAACCAGGACAAGGATGAACACACAGAATAACTGAGAACACAGAGGTTTGCTCTCAAAGCTGAAAGGTGAAAGCAAGCAAATGGAGAGAAACAAGAAGTTGATGTAAAAACATGAGGAATTTTTTATTTATAGCTATCTATATATAGACAGATACAAGTCTATATGTAAATATATGTATCTATATCTGTACCTACACGGATATCTCGAGTAAAGAGGATTTACCACCACAACACCTTTGTATTTGAGTATCATTTGTTATATGGGATTTATCAGCAAAACTATCTCTCAGTGGAAACGACAATTACACCAGTAACTGTATAAGAAACTACCTTGCTTTATCTCTCAGAAAAGACCTAGCTAGGAAGGCCAAAAAATGAGGAATACATAGTCAAGGAGGAGAAGACTCAGTCATGAATACTGATTCTTAAAGAGAACATGAAGTTTACACAGTGCCTCAAAAAAAAAAAAGGAAAATAACATGGAAGAAATACACGAAGGAAAGCATGCACCAAAGCAGTAACCTGACTGAGCATATTTGTTAGCTATAACTGAGTGTGAGAAGAAAAAAAGATAATTGGGACATTTTATGCAGAAACAAACTTAAATTCTTTGGACCAGAGCAGCACACTGATGTGAATCAAGATCCATGAGTGGAGACAGATGTGGGATTTGTGAACAGAGAGTGGGAAAAATGGCTAGAGAGAACCCAAGAACAAACTAGATAATGAATGGACCGAGGATAACAGACAGAGCATCTAATTATCAAGAAAACCTATTCATGTCAGGCAAGCAGCAGCTAAAGAGGTATAGAGCATTGAACATTGCTCCAGTTCCTGTAGGCAAGAATACTGAGATTCAAGACTGATCACAGAACATCTTGCCTCTGAATCTTTACTTTTCCTATCTCAGTTGAAATCCTTAATTAAAAGCAAAAACCTCCAAAACACTCCATCTGTAGTTAAGACTGATGCAATGAAATTCAAAGTGAACCTATGATGACTAAAGACCCTAGCCCTAGGACTTTGAAAACAAGAGCTACCAGGTTTGAAATGCAGAGTTAATGCTGGAAGTGCTGCTCCTCTAAATTACAACATGAACTATGCTGAAGAAAAATCACATTTGTTTCTACATTTTGTGGAAGGAAGAGGTACCAGGGTATATCAGCACTTCCCAGCTGAATTATATCTTGCTACTTTCAAAAGACATAATGACCCAAGTCTGTACTACTCTTTGAAAAATCTCTAACTACTTCAGATGGTCAAAGCATCCATCAGTGTTATAACTGTTTTTACCTCCCATCCTTTTGGGAAAAAAATGCAATCCAATGTTATTTATACAGCATCTTGTAGGAAAAATAAACAACAACAAGATACAGCACATGATCAATAAAGGATAACAGCACCTAAGAAGTGAATACAAACATCAATAAATAGCATTTGGAGAAAGGATTAAAAATGTACCCAGGCTGCATTCCAAACTGAAGTGGCCTATCGTTTCTCTGCCAAGCGCTGCAGCTGATGCAGAGGAGGCACGTACGGCTGAGCACCGGGCAGCTGCAGTAAACCCATCCCAAACAGTCTGCAGGACGCAAACTTGAGCCATGGTATGAAACCCAGTACAAATTCAGTGCCTCTCCTGCAGTCCATGCAATTGCACAGCAGAGCCACAAACAACAGGTGAATGGAAAGCAACCTAGTGTACCTACTTGTGCTCGACGTTCCGCTCCTGAGCTGCTGGACCAGAGGGTTTAATAGTTTTCCACCTTTCAGTTTGTTTTTGCTCGTTCTCCGGCGACGGCTGCTTGGTGGGGCTGAGTGAAGGAACCCCAGGTTGGGAGGAAGAGGTTTCCCTAACCGAATATACAGTGCCTCTATCTCATTCTTCTGCTGAGTCTGAAGTTCAGCAATTTCTTTCATATGCCTAAACATAAAAACCAATGAACTCTGCTAGCAATATATTCAATAAAGCATCACATCTTGACATTATTATTAGTTATTTAAAAAAAGAAACTAAACAGTCTTTGGTGATCAAATAATCGACTGCCCATCCAAAAGTATGTGAAAGTTACAACGGTCTATGTGGCAAATGTGGTGACTGACTTCTCACATACTCATTTATAAGGCAGAATCATAGAAACCTAAAAGGTTTTCAACACCCTCAGCAAAAACAATACATTTTGACATGAGATCCGACACGAACACAAACTATTCCAGCATTTTTCTCCTCAAACCAGTGGCTTCAAAAAAGTTAACTTTCAAGGCATGTACACCAGTTTGAAGGAGTTTAACATAAAGAAAAGCAAAAGTGCTTCTCATAAAAATGCCACATGAATCATTACCTTATTTTTAATGTAGATTTCATGATGCCATGAAGTCAGTTTAAAGGTTTTGTATTCTGTTTGAAAAAGATGTATCATTTGTATTCGGTAAAACCATTGTAAACTTCAGCTAAAGCTTAACATTTTGGTTAAACTAGCATTTAATGCTAATTTTTGCCCATCATCTGCCAGGAAAGAAAGAGAAGTTTGAATATAAAGATGCTAGCTCTCAGAACTGGCAGCATGACAGACTCCTTCCTATCAGGCTCACCCAGTCTCTTGCCAAGAATGCCTTGATGAGAGATCCAACGTGAGGCAAAGCAAAGGTCCTACCTGCATACTGTAAAAGTGAGCCTGGGAATAGTGATGGGTCTGTAGACCCGACAGTCTAAATCACCCATGTAGACAAGGGTATGAAGAGGACACCAGGGCAGCTGTCTATACAGCACCCAGATAATTTTTATGCTGTCTTAAATAGCGTCCACATGGGAACCTACTATCACTAGGAACCTAATATCACAAATGTTACATGTGCTGTTGTTTCCTACTGTATCAACAGAGCTTTTCACTTTGAAGCTAGACATTTCAGCAGAAATGTTTTGGGGTTTAAAAAAGGATATTATTGAATAATACAGGTATTGTGCCCAATTTGGGGCTCCCCAGTTCAAGGGAGACACAGAACTACCAGAGAGAGTGAACAGAGGGCTACAAGGATGATTAAGGGACTGGAACATCCCTCTTACGAGAAAATGCTGAGAGACCTGAGGCTCTTCAGTCTGGAGAAGACTGAGAGGGGATCTTCTCAATGCTTATCATTATCTAAGGGATGGGTTTCAAGAGGATGGGGCTGGTCTCATTTCAGTGGTGCCCAGCGATAGAATGAGAGGCAACAAACACAAACTGGAACACAGGAAATTCCACCTCAACATCAGGAAAAACTTCTTTCCTGTGAGGGTGACAGAGCACTGGAACAGGCTGCCCAGAGAGGTTGTGGAGTCTTTTTCCCTGGGGACTTTCAAAACCTGCCTGGACACCTTCCTGTGTGGCCTGCCCTAGGTGACCCTGCTTTGGCATGGGGGTTGGAAGGTCCTAGCCATGCCTAACTTGCCCAGAACTGGTTTACTCATTACAGCTATGAAAACCACATATTTGGCTCATCATATGCAGAGATGTCACCTAGGCACCTTCACACAAGCCTCCCTAGTGCATTTGCAAACCTGACATACTTTTCTCTCAGGTTCTGCAGTTCTTTCTTCATATCTGCGTCCTCAAATTCCGAGTCATTGTCACTGCTCATGTATGATGACTGGGAGTGGAAAGATGTTATGTTGATGGTGGGAATTTTTGATCCATGTCCATTGGGTGAATCGAGGCCTGGTGAGCTAGCTTTGCCAGATCTTTGCAGAAAAGCAGCTGCTTTTTTAATTAAGTCAGTGGCTGGACTGCTGCTTGGGGGGGGCAGCTGGGGAGGCGCAGCCCAACAGCTGGGCAGCCGCAGCCGACTGGCGATGGAAAGGCTCATCAGCAGAATCGCTCGAACCCTGGTCACAGAGGACATCAACAGAAGAGGCTGTCTGCACCCGTCGGACAGCTGTCTTCAGATCAGGGCTGGAAGGTAGCTCATCCAAATAAACGTCTGGGGGTGCCGAGAACCTCAAGCAGTGTGGCGCTGTTAAAGTTAATTCATCTCGTGTGCTGATTACTGAAAACCTGCCAATAGTTTTGGCTGGTGTACCGCTGTCATGAGTTTCAGCCTGTTTTCCATAGGAACCAGAGTCTACAGAGTCATCCCTTTGAAGGTTATTTATCACCCCATCTGCTGTAGATATTTGCATTACATTATCTGCATGTGCAGAAGAAGTCATAGACTTTGCATTCTCGCTCTTGTGAGAAGTTTCCATCCGTTTAGTTATGCTTAAAGATGTAGGTGCAACCTGAAGAAAATAATAAAGATTAATTTTGAAAGTAACTGTACCAATCAAGCATAAAACTGCTTCTAGTTTCTGGTTACCTGAAGGAGGCCTTTTGTTGTAGCAACAGGAGTTGAAGTGATGCTCGCAGCTGAACCTGATTTACAAGTTGGAAAAAAAAATAAATTCATGTCTGGAATGCTTTAGTATAATAAAAGCCAACACATTGTGATAAACTGAGGTGTGAAAAAGTGTAGCACTGAAGAATCCTAGAATGTCTGGGCTGGAAGGGACCTCCAAAGGTCATCTAGTCCAACCTCCTTGCCATAAGCAGGGACATCTAATCTCTGTAATACAGGATCTATAATGCAGGAGGCAATATCTGTAACAATAAAATACCTGCAGGTAGGCACTCTCTTCAATCTATTTATTTGGGGAATTCAAATAATAACAGGAGTGTAGAATTTCGTTAGCGAGTTGAAAATTTTTAAGGAGAGAACCAAAAGAACGAAATCTGCATAGTACATTGGGCCTGCATTACTAAGGTGTTCTTGATGACCTGGATGAAGGGCTGGAGTGCACCGTCTGCAAATTTGTTGATGATATCAAACTGGGAAGAGTGGCTGACACACCAGAAGGCCGTGCAGCTATCCAGAGGGACCTGGACAGGCTGGACAGCTGGGCAGCAAGAAATTTAATGAAATTCAGTAAAGGCAAGTGTAAAGTCCTGCATTTGGGGAGGAACAACCCCATGCATCAGTACAGGCTGGGGGCTAATCTGTTGGAGAGCAGTTCTGGGAAAAGGACATGGGAGTCCTAGTTGATAGCAGGATGACCATGAGCCAGCAGTGTGCTCTTGCAGCCAAGAAGGCCAGTGGCATCCTGGGGTGCATTAAGAGGTACGTGGCCAACAGGTGGAGGGAAGTCATCCTCCCCCTCTACTCTGCCCTGGTGAGGCCCCACCTGGAATACTGTGTGCAGTTCTGGGCTTCTCAGTTCAAGAAGGACAAGGAACTTTTGGAGAGGGTTCAGCATAGGGCTAATAAGATGAGCAAGGGCCTGGAGCATCTGTCATATGAGGAAAGGCTCAGGGAGCTGGGGATGTTTAGCTTGGAGAAGAGGAGGCTGAGGGGGGATCTTATTAATGCTTATAAATAACTAAAGCATGGATGTCAGGAAGATGGGGCCAGGCTCTTCTCAGTGGTGTCTGGTGACAGGACCAGGGGCAATGGCCACAAGCTGGTGAACAAGAGGTTCAACCTGAGGACAAGGAAGAACTTCTTTACGATGAGAGTAACAGAGCACTGGAAGGGGCTGCCCAGGGGGGTGGTGCAGTTACCATCTCTGAAGAATTTCAAGGCCTGCCTGGACATGTTCCTGTGTGATGTACTCTAGGTGATCCTGCTCTGGCAGGGGGGTTGGACTAGATGATCTTTCGAGGTCCCTTCCAACCCCTGACATTCTGTGAATCTGTGATGCCTCAAAAAAGTAATTGCACTCAGGCCTTCAAACACACAAAATGCTGTAGCTGACCACAGATGGACTGGTACTTCACACATCTCATCTGACAGATACTGACACCAACAATTAAAAGTGCCTGACATGAAGTTAAACAGACATTGCTGAAAGTGGAAATTATAAGCACAAAAGATAGCCACTTGGGTCATGGAATCACACAAGAAGCAAAATATTAGTGGCAGTAATCAAGACATGATTATTTCACAAGCTGCACACTGATTCTGAAGTTAAACCAATAAATGTAAGCTTTTCAGAAAGCTGCTTTCTGAAAGCACACTGCGTAGAGTGAACGTAAGGCAAAAATCTGTTCACTTCATAGCTCTGAAATGGCGACATGCATCATTGCTTGACAGTATCTTAGGTATATTAATTTTACACAGTGCTCTATTCCACTTGCATACTCTTTTCTTTATTAATAGTGAGACAGATGAAGACAGGCTACCTGAAGCCCTCCCTGCTCACATTGACCTAAAAGCAGCAGACAATCTATGTCCACCAGGACCAAAATGATCTATGTTGTCATACAAACTTTGTAGCCAGCTTTGCCACAATGATCTCAAAAAAATATATATATTATAAGCCCTTACCAGCCCAATCTGTAACAGCAGGAGCAGTTTCTCAGCCTTTAAAACTTCCCATGACTTGTGAAGACAGGTAAATGGAGCATGAAAAATACCCAGTTACTACAGCTCCTACTATGTTATAGAGAGTGCCGCTGTATCTACAAGTACCTGAAGAAAAGTACTCTTTACAAGTTCTCTGTGGGACTTCATTGAAAATCTTAAAGGCTTCTCCCGCTGAGGGGCTACCCTCAACTACGCTATTTTTGTCAACATGTTTTTATGAAGCCCATGAAATTCAAAGGATTTTCTCTTTGGACTTTTTAAGGGCACTGGAAATTTATTAGTGGGAGCACAGCCGTCCATGTGAATACCCTGTACCTACACCACAGACATGTATTACATACTGATGGTTTAAAATAAATCTTCCTGGGAGGCAGTTTCTCTCTGGGAAGCTTGACAGAAGTGAGACATTTAATATTAGTTATAATACAAATAAGATCAGAAATACTTGTGCTGGGCAGAGTTCTGCAGTTAACCAGAAGAGTGTGCAGCAAGAGGACACCAGAGAGGAGGACCACACACTAGCAGAGATGCAACACTGCCATTCGTCACCAAAAGGAACATTACCTTTTCTGCTTGCCGACCCACCTCTTGCTTCTGAAGAATGAGTACTGATGCCAGTGACCTCTGACTTTTCAAACTTTCGATAAAAAGGAAAAAGAAAAAGAATTTCAGTCTCACGCATAAAGCCAAAAGGCAATGCATTCTTCTTCCCTCTCTGCCCTCACACTCCTAAGGAATACTAAACTATTTTATACCGTATGTGAAGGTGGCCTCCTAGCTTTTCCTTCAGCTCCCCCATTTTTTTTTTCCTCCCTTGGAAGAATAAAAGTTGTGGCAGTGTCACAGAGTGAACTGCAGCCTAAGTTACTAAACCACTGAATTATATGTATCATTTGAGGGGTTTGCTTTTTAAGCCAGACTCTACATTTTTCATCTGTATGCCCATCTTCAGAAATTCTATGTCTCTTTTCTTATTGGCACAGATTTTAATAGGACTGATTCATATTACTGGAGAGACACAACACCTTTCACACAGAGACAGTTTTATCTGCTGTAGAACATCATGTGTCATTATAAACAATACGCTCTAAAGAGTTACTCAAGTGCAGCCGTCCTTCCTGTAACATCCAGCATCTTTCAAATATCCAGCTGACACTACACAGAACAGCCTCATCCTTGCTAGTAGTGATGTAATTATCTGCAGAAACGCTACTTTCCAAGTAAGATATACACTGATCTTCTAGCAGAAAGTGCTGCAAATCTGTCGAATTTCAAAACCCCAGGATTTTATCTGAAAGAACACAACACAGGTGCAAATGGAGACACTGAGTAAATAACAACCCAGACAAGCTGGTCCAGCTTTCCTCAGATGCTTCCCAAAGAAGTCATGCTCTACAAAGTTCCAACAAAAACAAGAGAGATCATTACTGGAAGCAAAGCAAGCTTCTACCTATGGAGTGTCTTTCTTTAGCTGCAGCACTTGAACAAAGCAAAGGCTCCTGAAGTGTTTATTTTCATTCAGACTGACTTGGAAGGCAGGCATTATAATCACTGCCATTGATTTTTATACATTATATATATCAAAAATTCCTACTGAAGCAGGATTGTCTTCATAGAACTTGAATGACTACAGCCTTCATGCATATCACATCCTTAAACAAAAAAAAAAAAAAAAACCCAAATTATCACATCTCTGCCTGCTTTAGAAACAGGACGCATGAGGAGGGAAATGAATTAAGAGTCACAGAATGTATTGGGTTGGAAGGGACCTCTAAAGGCCATCTAGTCCAACCCCAAATTAATTAAGATATACCACTTTTAAACCCAAAGGTAGAGTTTGGCTTTCACCAGCAGGCATTTATGTAAAATGAGTCAGAATGCATCTTTTAAGAGAACTTTCATCCTGGAAAGCAGCCAACAGACAAAAGGCAATATACCCAGGAGCAGAAAGAAACGTAAAGCATTCAGAGATGCGAGAAATCCATAAACGTCCTACCACAGGCTCATTGGTTCTGAGCTCTGCTTTGGTGCTCTCCCTGCAAGCTGGATTTGGGGGTATAAAGGTCAGTCACTGCTGGACTAACCAGTATTGGGTAGGATGAGATCTCAGGTGGTCTGAGTGGCACCAGCTGGGCCTCAGCAGCAGCTTTCACCTCCTTGGCAGTATCTGCAACACTATGGCCTGGTTCTCTCAAATCCAACGCCAACACGGGAACTTGATCTTCGAGAAAAGGTGGCAAGTTAAATTCAGTGTCGCCCTGTTCTAATGGGACAGAGGTATCTGGAGTCCCTGCTGATGCAGAAGAAGTAGGAACATATTCCTGGTAAAGTAAATTGCGCAATTTCTCATCAAGGCTTTTTATCGTGTTGTCCGCGAAGTCCACCCTGGGCGGTCCCTCTCCGTCGGACTCGGTGGTGCTCGGCTGCTGCTGTTGCAGCAGGCCAATGCCCATGCCGGCCGTGGGCTGCGCCTGGGGCGGCGTCGCGTGCTGCTGG